GGAGGGCAAAGCGTTCGGCTTCCATGAAAGTCTTGATGGATTGTCTTCAGCAAGCCCTGGCCCTGTCTGGAGCTGGGTGGGAGGGTGCTGGGGCCTGCAAGTTCAGTTCCAGAACCTGTGAGTGGGGACTGGGCCCAAAGCCAGGCCATCACTGTGAAGAGCTAATGGAAGTGAGAACCAGAAAATCTCTGCTACTCCCATGTCCGGGATCAGGAACCACGAAATACAATGAAGAAAATGGAGCCTCCAGGAGACACAGACAACACTGGAGGAAAGAGAAGACCAGGTCGGCTTTGTCGCCTCCTCAAAGTCCACCTGCTTGAATACTCAAATTCATTGTTTGTTTGTATGTTTGTTTGTTTTAGAGAGAGGGTCCCATGTGACTCAGGCTGGCCTCAGACTTAATATGTATCTGAATATAGTCTTGAGCGCCTGACCCTCCTGCTTGAGCCTCAGGAGTACTGGAATTACAGGAATGCATCACCATGTCAGATTTAAATTCACTCTTCATGTGAGCTTGTTAGTAGCATCTGTTAGTGGTTTGGAGTGTGACTCAGTGGTAGAAGACTGGCTCAGAATACACAAGGCCCTGGGTCCCACTTCCAGCACCAGCAAAGAGCATTCATTAACAGAGACATTGCAAAAGGCGTGACCAAAAAGCTTTCTCTTCTTTTCTTTTTTATTTTATTTTTCTTTTAAAGACCCAGTGTTATGTAGACCAGACTGGCCTCAAATTCTATGTGTAGCTGACCATAGCCTTAAACTTCTGATCCTCTGTCTCTTGTCCCCCAAGTATTGAGATTATAGGAGTGTACCTAACACTGACCCCTTTAGATTTTAAAAAAATTATTTATTTTATTTTTGAGATTATAGTATAATTATATCATTTCCCCCATTCCCTTTCCTTTTTCCAATATACCCTTCCTTGATGTGTGTGTGTGTGTGTGTGTGTGTGTGTGTGTGTGTGTGAGACAGCAGAGTGGCTGTCCTGAAACTCCCTCTGTAGACCAGGCTAGCCTCAGTCTTAGAGATCCACCTGCCTCTATCCCCTAAATGCTGGGATTAAAGGCGTGCATCACCATTGCCCAGCCATGGCCTCCTTTTTTCTTCATTAATTGTTATTCACGCGCGCATGCACGCGTGCACACACACACACACACATATATATACACACACACACACACACCACTACATATTCCTAAATACACAAATACAGCCTGCTCATTTGTATACTGTTACTTGCATGGATGTTTTCAGGGCTGATCATTTGGTATTGGATAACCAGTTGGAATGCTTTTCCCTGGGGAAGTCTATGCCCTCTCACCCACTACCCCATTCCATCCCATAGTAGCCTTTAGTTCTTTGTCTAGAACTGAGGCCTCCTGGGATTTCCCCTATACCTCTTTGTGTGTCTATTTTTGTCCTTATTCAGTTCCTGTTTAGGGAGTTGTCGGTGAGACTTTCTGGGTATAGTTCATGACATTCCAGGAGACACAATCTCACAATAAACTCCCTGTTCCTCTGGCTCTTACACTCTTTCTGCCCTCTTTTGCACAATGACCCCCAAGCCTTAGGTGCAAGGGTTGCTTTGTAGATGTATCCTTAGGACTGAACCCCACAACTCTGCATTTTGGTTGGCTGTGGTCTTCTGAAATGGTCTCTTTTTTTAGCAAAGAAAAATTTCCTTGATGATGTTGCTAAGCAGGTTGTTGTCATCCAAGAGGAGACCAGGAGGAGGAGCCACCCAGACCCAGCCTGGGCTTGCAGTCCTGGGACTACAAGTCTAAAGAGGTGACCCCAAGTCAGTAAAGTAGGACACTTTAGTACACTTATAAAGACAAAACCCACAAGTTGTGCACTTTCTGTTGATGTGGGTCTGGTGGCTGTCGGCGAGCATAACCTGCTATGAACTTTCTGCTAAAATGAGGCATCTCTGTGTTAGCATGATACAACTGTTTCATCAGGGAGGGGAGCAGAAAGCCTTGCAATTACAGGAGCAGAACACTGGCAGGTGAGTTATGGTTCCCATAAAGTACTATGCCTGCCCGAGGGTCAGGCTGAACACAGTTTCAGCACGAGGTCAGGCCAGGATTTAGCAGATGTTTTTCTCTCCACTCCCCCCCTTGTCTGAGGCATTCTGGCATATCCGCACTAGCATTCAGTGCGGGGTGAGGACTGCACTTATCTGTGGGTATAAGGACATATTTAGAATATAGTTAGGGATTATGCTCGTAAGTAAAATGGTAATTTTGGGTTCTCCTCCAAGATCCATGACTTCACTAGCCCTGGGTAATTGGCTAGGTTTCTGGTACCACACATGGTTTCACTCTTGTTGAGTAGGCCTAAGTCCAATTAGAGAGAGCTGTTGGTTACTGCTAAGGTATGCGTGCCATTACTACACCCTTGGTGTTATCGTGCCAGGCTGCACATTTCTGTGGTTCATAGGTGTCATATCTGGTGGTTTCCCCTCTTTGGAAGCTTGAATGATACCTTCTGGTGCCACGGAAGCTGGTTGTCAGGGAGGAGGCATTCAGGTGGTTTCCAGCCCTCTGAGCTCTGTGTCTGAAGTTCACGGTGTCTTCAGCAATAGGGACACTTACCTTCTACCTCTGGGGGCAACCAAGGGCAATAGTGATAGCCTGTAATGTTTTGAGAGTCTTGGACAATCCTGACCAACAACTCAAAAAAGAGCTTTTCGTGACTGGTGCTGGAGTTTTTGGCTCTTGGAGAAAGCACTGTCAGTCCAGATGGAAACTTTGTATTTAAGCTGTATATGTATGTTTATATATCAACTTACAAGTATTGTAGACTTCTGGGGGTAGATAGTTAATAGTAAGATTCTTTGTGACTTTTTCAGACATACTTAATGTTATTTTACTCTCTTCCTTCCTCCTTCCACGATCGGCTCCCTAATTAGAGCCCCAATTTTCCTTATTTCTCCATTCAGATCACTTGTCCCTTCTCCATTGACTCCCACCCTACCCTGAAAGGTCCCTTTTTTAAAAAAAAATTTTTTAATAATTTATTTAACTTTATTTTATGTGCATTGGAATGAAGGTATCAGATCCCCTGGAACTGGAGTTACAGACAGTTTGTGAACTGCCATGTGGGTGCTGGGATTTGAACCTGGGTCTTTTAGAAGAACAGCCAGTGCTCTTAACTGCTGAGCCATCTCTCCAGCCCCGAAAGGTCCCTTTTTACTTTCCTGGTTTCTGCAGTTCTTTTAAGTTTGTTTTGTTTGTTTTGGAGATAAAATCTCACTCTGTATTTCTTGCTAATCTAGACTTTACTTTGCAGCTCAGGCTGACTTTGAATTCTCAGTAGTCCTCAGACCTCAGCCTCTCTGGCGGGAAGACTTTTGGGTAGAAGCCACCACACTCTACTCAACTTCATTTTTTTTTCTTTTTGTATTGAAATAGACTCAATAAAATGAGGCCACTCTGTAACTGGATTTAATTCTAAATCCTTCTACCATAGACTCCTGAGTGCTGGTTCCAGGCATGAGCCACCACACCCAGCCTCTGGAGGTTACTATCTTCAATGGAGGTTACTGTCTTCATTTTACCAATGAAGAAACTGATATTTAAGAGGGTTTATTACTGCCCCTCCCCCACTCCGGACCACAGAGCTTCTACCGGATGGATCTGGGACTGGAAACCACCTGTCTAGACCCAGGCAAGGCCTTCTGCAGATCACCGCCCATCAGGTCTTCTGGAGGTCTGCGGTCACCGCTGTCACAGTGCTGATCTGTTCTACCGTTTTGGATCACCACTCTGATTCCCATACCAGCAGCTTCTGTACCCGCTTCCAGGGAGTGCAGCCTGGTCTGGAAGTCCCATGGTCCATTATGTTGCCAGGGGCGGGAAACTATAGATCTGATTACCACAGGAAGCTCTGGAGCTGGCAGAGCACAATGATGTGCTGATGAGGGTCCCCGCCGGGACTTGGGAGGTGATCTGCAGCTGCCGCCTTCCCAAGGACTTCCAGACCCCTTCTCAGAAGCCCTCCCTCTGAACTGGGCTGGAGTCTCACTCGTGTGCTGTTCCACACTCAAGTCCTGTGCTGCTAACCACAAACCTCTACCGTGCTTCCGCTGTGGTGTGCTCTGGGTAGAGAGCATCTGGTCATTCCCTGTCACTGGATCCAGCCATCCTTTTGTTCTTGACCCCTTCGTCTTCTGCAGAGACCGCAGAAGCTTTGGCTAGGCTGAATGAACCTTGGAGGGAAACTGTTCTGCAGTCCTATGTCTGCATGACACTCCCTAGTAAGCATTTTCTGCAGCCTTTCCCCAGAGCTGCTCTGTGTGGTGGATGTAGATGGATGGTCCAGACAGGGAAAGAGAACATATATTGGTCAAGAGCCTGTTGTGTGCTGGGCCAGCTAGCCTGGTATAGACAATGGCAAACAACAAAGAAACCCCTCTTCAAACAAAGGTGAATGTTGAGAATCAACCTGAGGTTGTCCTCCGAACTCCACATATGTGCCGTGAAATGTGCCTGTTTGTGTGCATGTTTGTGTGTGTGTGGTGTGGGGTGTGTGTGTGTGTGTGTGTGTGAGAGAGAGAGAGAGAGAGAGAGAGAGAGAGAGAGAGATTAAATGGTTTAGCCAAAGTCACATAGGCAGGTGACAGAGCCAGGACTTGAACCTGCCCGTGTCTAATAGGAAGTCCATGCTCTTTCTGGCCTGGGTATCTTTCATCTCTGGTTAAGCCCCGGAGAGGAAGGGCTCCTTCACAGGAAAGAGGTCTCCACTCTAACTTGGCACAATCTTTCAAAATGAAAAATTCATAGACATTTTGAGCCAGCAATCTCTTTTCTAGGAATGAATCCTCAAGAAACATTTACACATGCGCACAGAGTCTAGATGTTCTTGTTTGCAGTATCAAAAGCTCAGGAGCAACCTGAATGTCCATCAGCAAGGGAAAGGGTAAGTACAGTACTGTGACCACGAGAAAAGACAGGCCAGACTGTACACCAACGGAGAAAATACAATACCTCAGCTATCGGATACATGTGCGTATATTTTATATGTGCACATATATTACACATACTTATTATATTTATATAGCTGAGGTTTCTTTACACAGTGTTGATGGTTCCCCAGTGAGAGGAAGTGAAGCAAGTGGGGAAGGGTAAAGAGGCTCCCAGACACCAGGAAGCAGCCCCTCCACCCTGCCTGTCTCTTTTCTGTCTCTCCCTTGAGGATTCCCAGTGCATAGACATAGCAGACATTGAAAAGTGCCTGGGACAAAGGAAGGGAGTGGCTTATCAGTGCTGGGCACCGCTTCCTCCCACCATCCCCATCCTGGCCTGGCATCTCCGGAAGGAGTCTCAGACTAGACCCCTGTTTGGGGCCCCAGGGTTAACTTCATTAGGTTTCTAACAGTGGAGGTTGAGCACGTCTTGCCGTTACAGACTGCAGAGGAATGCTGAGATCTCACCTCTCTACCTCTCTGGGCCGTCTCATGATGGCATTGGATGAAGGCAACCTGGGCCACCGAGTTCCTCCTAGGTCTCCGTTGTTTATCATTGAGTTTTGTATATTGTACAGCAGACGAAATCCGGATGTGTCTGATAAGGAACAGGGCATTCTGAGCGTGAGACACGCAGGGATCTGTTGAATGTTTTTCCTTCATCTTTAGGAGGACATCCGTTGCGTCTGAGTGCTAATAAACCAGAGACACTCCAGCTGACCTTGTCCTCCTATCGTCCTATATTCTCCTACCACCTGGACAGGTCTGGGACTCGAATGCGCTATCATTGCATGGTTAGACAGTCAAAGGAAGAGTTTTCCTGCTTCCAACAGGCCTCTCTGGAAAGCCTCTCTGGCTCTGTGGTCTTATCCACAAACTCGCATCTTCCTGTCTCACTGCTAAATGTCAGCCCTTTGATCCAAATGCCCCCACACCTCCACCACCAGAAATACACCACCCCCCTGCTTTCTCTTCAGACTTGCCCCTCTTCTTGCCGTTCTTTCTCTCCTTAGGTTCTCTCTGCCTGTCTCTAGGCTGATCCACAGCCTCCTGCATGTAAACGACAGGAAGATAGGAATCCGGCTCAAGAGGCTGAGGATGAGGCTTTGTTGGTGCAGCGCTTGCCTGCCACATACAGGGACCTGTGTTTGATCCCTCATGCCACATAAAACCATGCCATGTGTGATGGTACATGCCTATAGTCCCTGCTTGGGAGGTGGAGGCAGGAGGATCAGAAGTTCAGAGCATCCTCAGCTACACAGAGTTGAAGACCAGCTTGGGTTACATGTGACCCTGGTGGGGGCTGGGATAGGAGTTCCAAATCAGGGAAGCTTAAGCTTTTTTTCCTCACATAACTGAAAAACTCAGAGATAGAGATTTCAGGCAATATCTGGATCGGGGCACTTAGAAAATGTCACCGGGCATCTGTCTCTTTGACTCAGGCCTGCTCTCATTTGTGTTAGCTTTACTTTCTGGGTAGCCACACCCCAAATGGTCTAAAGCAGCCCCATATTTAAATGTTCCAGAATAGCAAACCATGCAGAGAAAAAGCACCCTTTCTCTAAGAGGTCAACAAAAGGCCCCCGACTGATGGTAACTGGGTCTGTTTCTATTGAGTGCCTTGTGGTTCATGGACAAAAGGCACAGACTGGCCAGATCCAGTCCTTTATCTATCCAGGAAGAAGACTGGAGAGCCCTTTCTAACCAGACATGGGGAGACATGCTCTGCAGGCAGGATTTGGGGGTGCTCACCAGCGGGAAGACTTTCTAACCAGACATGGGGAGACGTGCTCTGCAGGCAGGATCTGGGGGTGCTCACCAGCGGGAAGATGCCGAGAGCCTGACGGTGAATGACAGCGACTGTCCAGCCTTGTTACTGATCTGGGGGCAGTATCTCCTTTCTGTGGAAAACTGGTGGGGTGTTGAGATGCTCTGGAGGCATCCTCACAGCCTGGTTTTTTTTGCCTAGTCTTGGCCCCCACAATCTAGATTAAAGCAGCTCCTTGGCCTAACTCTGTCAGGGCCATTCTCACCATACACCCAGTGCACACTCTAGTATGAACGGGGGCAGGGACAGCAGAGGAGCGGAAGAAGGCAGAGGCTCAAGAGCAAACTTTGAAGGTGAGCCATTCCGGGGTGCCTGGACCTATCTCCCAGCCTCACTGGCATTCTCCTGTCAGGGGTGGCACATGCTAGCTTAGTGGTCTCTGGTCTTCTGCTCCTCCTGACAGCCGCCTTCTGCTAGGGTCTTCTCACTGCCACACTGCCAGGGACTCTGCACACTCCGCACATGGCTGCCAATCCCTGTCCAGCACCGCTCTCTCCAGTCTTCTCGCCTCCCAGCTGTATTTTCTACTCAGTCTAAAGAAAGTCAAGACTTTTGCTCCAAGGAGCCTCCTGGTCTTCTGTGGGAAGACCAAGGTGGGAAGAAAAGTGTGAAATCAGAGAGGCAGAGGCAGAGGCAGGGGCCGGGCAGGTCCAGCGAGTTAGCATTCAGTGGAAACACTGGCCCCACGTCCCGCTGGTGACTCACCACTTCCTTCCCCACAGCTGGGGATTGTCTGCCCTCTGTTAGCACACAGCCGGTACCCGGATCCACCACCATTCTCAAGTCCCTTGTCTGTGTTAGGTTTGAAGATTCCAGCTGGGTATGGTGTCTAAAGTCTGTAAACCTGGGAAGTGGAGAGCCAGGAGTTCAAGGGCAGCCTGGGCTACACAAACCCTTCTTGAAAAAGAGAGCGGAGGCGAGGGTAGGATTGAAACCTTAGACAGATGCCTTACTGGAGGTTCTTCTGTTGTCCTACATTGAAAAGGTTGCAAATGGAGCAGGTATATGAAATTCTAGTGCATGGACCCCCATTGGAAAATCCAGTGCTCATGGCAGACATTACCAATCAACACTAGTATGTCCTTCTCAGCACGCATCCAGGTAACTGTTACTCATTCCACAAAAGCTTGGGACTGCTTCCTTGCCACTCCTGAACTGGCTGATCTCTGAAGGCTCTTCCCATGCTGATAGCTAAGGGTTGTTTGGACCTGGATGAATGATTCTCCTACCCTCCATTTCCCCTTTCTCCCTCTGACTCAATGCTTTGATCACTCCTTTCCCTTCCTCTCTCGCCTTGCCATGTTTCTGAGTTCTTCCCAAGTCCATGTAAACCCTCGTTTCTGTCTGGGTCTCCAAGGTTCTGTTTACCATCACTCAGCCTCGGGTTCCTCGTAGTTACGTGTATTGAGTGATTCAGTGACATCGGCTCAGAGAGACAGGCATTGATAGAGACACAGGAGGCAGTCACAGGAAGACAGGAGGGACGAGTCTACAGAAGTGTCGCCAGATAACAGAACAGCCAAAGCAGGGGCTAGAGTTAAATCAAGGTTGTCTGAGTAGGAGTGCTAGTGCTGAGGGGGAATCTGAATGAACTTTGTCCTGGAACACCCAAGGTCACAGCAGGAGAGAGGATCAGGTAGGATCTAAAACCACAAATGACAAAGGGAGCATATAAATTAGGATCTCAAATGACAAACATGAGAAGGACAGAGGATTTTTTTGGGTAGCGGGGAACTATGAAGAATTGTCATAATGAGATGAACTTCACAGGGCTTTATACCGGTGACAGCAGCCACAAGTTACTGAGTAGGAGAGTTTGGACCAGGAGGGTAGGTGCTGGCCTATTAGAGTTTAGATAAGCCAATTAGAGGCTTATCATAAAGCCTTTCTAGGTTGGTGGCTACGGCTTACCCATAGGAAGGAACCACCTGGAGCAATTTTAGACATCCAGAAAGAAATACCAATGTTATCTCAGGGGTATGTGTGCTTATGGGACGCACACAAAGGCCAAAGGGTCTGCAGGGCCCTATCTATAATCTGGGAGTTGAAATCCCAGGTCATCTACTTTCTAACTGTAAACCTCTGGCGCCAGTGTCTTCACTTGCTAAATGAAGATGACTATCATCCATCCCTAAGAGTTGCCTCTAAATAAAGTGTTAAATAAGAATGTGAATGGGAAGGGGCTGGGGAGAGAGCTGCTAATAAAGTACTTGCCTGAGTTTGATCCCAGGTAAAAATGTTGGGTGTGGTGGTGTGTGTTGTAATCCCAGCTCCAAGGAGAGAGAGACAGGTGCTTTCCTGGAGCTCACTGACCAGTCAATCTAGCCTAACTGGTTATCTCCAAGCCAAAGGTGGACTCATTTCTAAGAGGGGACAGTGTTTCTGAGAATGACCCCTGAAGTCGTCCTCAGACCTCTACAACATGAACGTACAATGCACCCTACAATGTGCACCCTCATATGTGAACACACTGAGAAAAAATAAGAATACATGTGGGAATCAGGTATGGGGGTATAAACCTGGAGCTCCGGCATTAGGAAGAATGAGGCAGGAGGATCCCACATTGCTGGGCCACATAGCTAGTTCCAAGTCAGCCGGTCTCAAAGTAAAAAACAAATGAACCGAGACTCTCTCTACCTTAGCAGTACATTGCTAACCTAGCATTATGTAAGACTCTGAGTTCAAACTCCAGAATTACCAAAACCTTCTCCGAGTTAACAGCTCCTAGCACTTGGAAAGTAAAGACTGGAAGATCAGGAGTTCAAGGTTACTCTCAGCCTCATGAAATTTGGAACTTGGTGGCTATCCTAAGTTACAAGAGAAACCCTGTCTCTAAAACCAGAACAAGGAATGTGTATAAGAGCTAGGGATACAACTTTGTGGTAGAGCATTTGCCTAGCATGTCCAAGCCTTGTGGCATATACAAATACATGTATGTGTGTGTATGTTTGCCAACGTTTATCAGCTTTAATGGTAGAGTCCTCTCAAACACACCATCTAATGCCCACAAATGCCCATGTGATGGGTAATTTTTGTGTAAACGAAGGCTATAATCCTAAACTGCCCGACCACGGATAGGGAGAGCAGGACAGCGTCTGCAGAGCCTCAGCAAAGCGGCCAGTTGTGCTTTAGCAGGCAGAGGCCACACACAGCAGCACAGCACAGGCACTGGCTGAACCAAGGGCTGAGAGCGACGCACAGACAGAGAGATGGCCAAGTCTTCAGACCAATCTTCTCTCCTTTGCCACTGGGTTGTGGACTTCCCAGCCTTTCCAAGCTGCCTGGCTCCATCTCCACTCAACGAAGGAAATAGAAACAGCAAATGCAACTTCTGGTGCTATTAGGAGGCCACCACCCACCGGAGGTGGCCTGGAGGTGGCCTGGCTGTAGCCAACAAGAGTCAGCCAGGTCTACAAAACAGCAGTCTAGATGGCAGTCCCTGGAAACAAGAAAGAAGCTGGCAGGGCACTTTCCTGAATCCTTGTAACCACTGTCCCAGCAGCTCTTTTGAGGTCTGACTAGCGGTGATAAGAAAGAAAAGGTCCTGGGGTCCCCTGACCCTGTCTTGTGCCCATAGGGTCTGTCACTTGGTACAGTGTGGGAGTCAGGCCAATACAGAAGGAGATCCCAGCTTCCCTACCCGGATATCTGGCCCCAGGACACGTGGTACCACTTAAAATCAGGAACGCCCTTGCCCTTGCTTTCCAGATTCTAGCTCAGGGATGTGCCACACCCTCAGGCCGAGGCACAGAGGCTAAGAGGAAAGGGCTATGGAGTCAGACAGATCTGGGTTCAAATCCCAGTTTGGCTCTTTGCTACTAGGACCCTTGGGCCAGCTCTTGAAGTAATTTATATCTATTTCTTCATCTGTAAGTTGGGAATGATAAAAATGAGTTCACAACAGGATTACCCACACATAATAAGCATGTAGCATTTTAGCCCAGGTGTGGAGCATAGGACGTACTCAAAAGATACTAGCTAGCCTTTTTTTTTCCTTCTAATTAATTGCTATAGCATACAAGGTCCCCAAATGTTCTGTGATCAAGAAATTACATAAATTCCAGTCAAGAATGCTAAAGAACCCAGTAAGTGAATCCTACTCAAGTAAAGTGTGATATGGTAGGATCCTGCTGCCCTGATTTCATGGCCTGGACTGCCCTAAAGGAGTGTCCTTTCAGGCCCCCATGGAGCCCTTTCCCATGACCACCTAGTGGTGCTGCTGGGAACAAAGGCAGATCCCAGAAGGTCCAACTTCTAGACTCCCTTTGACCTTTGTCCTGGCCAGGGCCCAGGAAGGGGCAGCAGCAGGCCAGGAATAGATGGTTCTCAACAACCATACCCAAAGTGACCATCCTCCCTTCCTGGGAATCCAATCAACTGGAAGCCTCGAGGGAACGGGCTCAAACCTGTCTGTAGGAAGGGAATTTCCCTGGGTTTCAGGTGAGACTCTAGGTAGTCGGGCCGGCCGTGGGGACAGAGTTAATACTTCTTGAGAAAGTAGGACACACCCATGACAGCAGATAAGAAGTCTTGGAAGAACCCAGACACTCTTTATTAGAGCCCATCCCTGGGAGTCCGCCTTCCCCCGGAGATGTTCTCTTCCTTCCGTGCCCCTTCCAGCCTCGACTACTGCCTTCTTTCTCCTCAGGAACAGCCTGTGTTCCTGTGTTTACCTGGGGCTGCCCGGTCCGGGTGTTTCTCTGTACGTGGGTCCTTCCTTGTCCCCCACCCGGCGGATGCCTGGGCTGAATTGTGTATTTCCGGAGTTGCCTACTTGAATCACAGGCTCTTATTTTTAGAAGATTATGAAGGCGGGGGCTGGGAGCAGAGGACTAGGGACCTAGAGTTAGAATGGAGGGGGATCTGAATTCGGGGACTGTGGTACAGGACTGGAGGGAGGCACCCTGGGGGTGAGGATAGACCAGATTGGGGGACTAGATGGGAGGGTGGAAGGAAAAGAGAGGTGAGGAAGTGGGGGAGTCCTATTCTCCCACTACCCTGGGGCCCTGGGTGGAATCAGACTCTATCCGGCTGGGGAGGTTGTATGGAAGGGGCCAGGTCAAGGGTCAGTCTCTGGCATGTAGAGCTGGATCCCCGGGGAGGCTGAGGAGCCTGGGAAACAGGCTGAAAAAAGTGGCTCCCTTCCCCCTCCCCAGAGGCCTTTGGGACTGGAGAGTAGCTTCCTGTGGACAACTTTTCTGTCCCTTTTGCAGAGGATGCCTTAACCCTTCTGGTGCTGGTGTCAGAGGAAGCCACGCATTCACTCACATGCTCTGTCACTCTTGCGGCAGTGAGAGGACATCAGCCTGAACCAAAGCTTGTGGGGTTAGGAAGCCCCCACCCTGCCAGAAACGAGGAGCCCGGGCTGAGAGGCCTTAACATTAGAAACCTGGTTTGGATTTCTGTCTCCCTCTGGGTGCTGTGACCTCACTGAGCTCCTCAGCTCTGCACTTCGGATACAGTCTTGGGAAATGAGGAGGGAAACAAAGCAGAGATGCTGGTGCTGAGGGGAGCAGAGAGAGGACATCTGCTGGTCCTCTGCTGCCCTCAAGTCCTGTAAGGCACTGAACTTCAGTGCTCCCTCTCCTGATGCTGCAACCAAAGGCAAGAGGCTGCTGGCTTCTACCTCTGAATGCGTATGCTGGGCACGGGCAACAACGCACACCCCGGACTGCCAATGAGCCTGAGATGAAGAAGTAAACCAAAATAGATGGGTGGCCTACCTTAGCTGCGGGAGAGGCTGTCGCTTCCTTTCATGTGGCATCCCGAAGAGTGCTAGATCAGAAGCCAGAACTGGCCTGGATTCAAGTTCTGACCGATACTAGTTGTGAGGCTTTGATCAAATCCCATTGCTTCTCGGGGCCTCAGTTTCATTTCACTGCAAAATGCAGATCCGAAATAAAGCTACTTTAGGGTAAAGTGGCTGCGTATGGGAGAGCCAGACAACCTTTGTCAACCTACAGGGGTGTGCAAAGCAACGGTGTTATTGTCAGACCTGGTCCAGAGGTTGGATGCAACACAATCATTTTGAGGCTGAGGCAGCTTGGAAGTGTGACCTTGGGCAAGTTCCTTGGGTCTCCATTTCCTCATCTGCAAAATGAAGGTCCTGCTAGTAACTACTGCAATGGACTGCTGGAGAGTCAATGAGATAGTACACAGGAGAGGCTCCCCAGAGCCTAGTGCTTGGTGAACTCCATAAACAGTGGCTATTGTTACATTCACCTCCCCCCAGGGTCTCCAGCAGCTCCCTACCCTCATCTCCCTCCTGCTTCCTTCCCTGAAGGGTAAGCCATACCCAGGTCCCTACTCTGGCCTCATTGGAATGAAAACATATCTTCCTGAAGCTGGAACAGCACAGCATCCGAAAGAAGGGAGAGAGGGTTGCCTAGAGAGAAGGCTAGAGGCTGCGGGTGCTGGGAATTCACTGGGGGAGGGCAGAAGAGGGTCAGAGGCCAACCCTCCCCCCTCCCTTCAGCTGCTGGGGTCGGGTCTCTCATCCAGCTAAGCAGGGCACCTGGATGCTGAGAGCTGCTTATCAGGTTAGCTTGGAGCCGATGTCTCTGGCTGTCTCCGCATATTACCCGACCCATCCGTCCGCTCTCCTGCCCGCCCTGCCTGCCCCCCAGTCCTGCCTGTGCTAACTAGTTAATTGGATCTTGGCTAACCTGGTTAAGGGCCGAGTCAGCGGGCTCCTCCGCCTCAATAAGCTGGAGTGGGGGAGGGGCAGAGCTGTGCGTGTGAGCGTGTGAGCATGTGTATCTGTGTATTAGATCAGAGCCTGTCTCTGAGCTCTGATCTAAGCCTCTAGGGATCATGGAATCCACGGGCCCTGAATCTGCATGCTTCAGAGGCGACTGGAGCACCCAGCTCCACTGGGAGAGCAGAGGGCACGGGTCACGCGGCCTTTTCTCGAAGCCTGTCTGTCCTGAAGGCATGTAGATGGAGTGTGTGTAGTTGATTCTTAACTTCCTTCTCTGTAAAATGGGATTATAAAACCTATCCCCTCAGGGGAGCCATTTGTGAAGATCAAAAGGAACCGCGTGCACATCTGTGCTCGGTGCTTAGTAGGCGCTCTGTGCAGGGTAACCGATCAGGGCCGTCATTAATCAAATCGGGTCCCAGCCATCTTGGGATCCTGGGGGTTGGGCCGAGGGATCTCGGTGGAGATGGAAAGGCTTTCATTCACAGATGATTGCAGGTGTTTCCTCTGAGGCAGGACTCCAATCTCCTCAATTGTTTCTTATGCAAATGTTATGCTAATGATCTCATCAATGTATCCCAGTGCCCAGCAAGAAGGTGAGGGTGAGCTGTGTCCCTAGGTTTCACTGTGACCGCTCTGTCCCCTCCCTTTGCCAAAGAGAAGCCAGTGCTTCTGCTCCTAAGAAGTAGTCCCCAGGGCACTGAGCTGGAGGGGAAACACAAAGAAAGGCCTGGGCCTCGCTAGGAGAAGGACAGCCTCATCACCGCCATAATCATCAGCATCAAAACCGCCTTTGGAAACGTCAGATTCTTCCCCGCCCTGTGCAGACTACTGTACAATTATGGAGGCCCAGCCCCTGGCCTTCGGGGTGCTGGAACTGGGGAGGGGGCGGGAAGGGAGCGAGGGAGAGAGAACTGACAGACAGGCTGTTTGCTCACAAGCTAGTGGCCCTCCTTTGAGTTCTCCTTAAGCCAAAGGCCAAGCTCAGGTCAGGAAGGCTCACAATCAAGTGGGCAGACTAGCAGTGAAGGAAATGGTGGCAGAAGTGCTTGTGCCGTCTTCCTTTCACTTTTTCCCCAGCGAGGTGACTTCACCCCTGTCTTACATCCATCCTCAGTCATGAACTTGGTCTGATCATTCCAGCTTTTCCAGGTTTCAGTGAGACTTAAGGCCTCAGTGACAGTCCTACCTGCTGGCTGGGTTAGTGGCAAAGGAAAGGCAGCCGCCCGCTGGCTTCTCCATGGCCCCTATGAGCTGAGCTATGGCCCCTTATCTGCAGCTTGATAAGTCAGGTAAAGAAGGCAATGAAGTGGCTTGTGCCTCCACATGGGCGGGCTTGAGCTGGGTCTCCCCATTAACCGTTCCTCTGCCCCCCGAATTCCTTTCCTTCTAACTTTGCCCTCTATATTATATAAGATGAGGAGCAGCGTGAGAGTTCGGCAACAGACAAGGACTGCTGATCAGATCAGCAAGGACACAGCCTCATTTCTGAGGTTCCTGTGCCTATACTGCTGGGAGTTTTTGCTAAAACGCCCAGGTCACTTTCTTTTCGCTCCTTTAGCTCCTCTAGAGAGAGATTCCAATAACAGTACCTACTCCAGGGTGAACTAAGCCTTTGACACATAGTAGGTACTCAGTTTTAAAAAAATACAAACACGAGGAGCCAGAGAGCCATCCCTGAAGTCTGTCTAATAAATGCCAAATTGTGCAAGCGGCTGCTGCTGTAATTAGACCAAGGAGGGCAGTCACTTATTAATATTGGACTCATGGCAGGGTTAACAGCCATTGAGGGTGGGGATAATGAAGAGAGAATCACTTCCTGTGTCCTCAGGGACTTCCTTCTGTGATGGCCTGCTGAAGAAGGCAGACCAGCACCCACGTGCCTTCACTGGCTGAGGGTCCAGCGGCCTTCCTGGTGCCTCTGGTAGTCTCTGTCCTGTTGTACATTCAGGACTCTGGCCTCTCCTATACCTGCCTTTCTCCTGGAGCCCCACAGCCTTTATCTTCCTTACCTTATAATGCCTATCAGTAAGAAACCCAAATGAGAGTTCTGTGTACCCAGGCCTTATCTTTTCCTTAGACCTGTGGCTTTTAAACCCTGGGGCAGATTTACCTTCTGCTTCTGTATCTTGAGAGCAAAATCCTCATTCTAAAAAAAGAGACTTCGGGTGTTGCTGTTGGGACAGAGAATTCCAGTCGGGAGGGGGTGAGAGAGAGAATGAGAAAAGGAGAAAATAGAAAGAAGAGAGTAACAGAGAAGATGGTAACTTCTAGAAGTGAGAAAGGAAGATGGAGGAAGGAAGAAAGGAAGGGAGGAAAGGAAGGAGGGAGGGAAGAAGGAAGGAGGGTGACCATGTCTGTTCTCAGAATTACAGAGCATAAGCATGCCTTGCCTGGGAGTTTACAATCTATCTGGAAAGAGGAAGTGGCCAAAGACAGACCCCTGAACTCCTGTCCCTCGGTTTGGAAGTCTCAGTTTGTACCTACTCTCTGGCCTGCCAGCCCAAGCCCCCTCTTTCCTCACTGGCTGGCTCCCCTTGGCAACCAGTCCCTGAGGATGTACTCCTGGGTACTATCCAGGGGTGGGGGGCGCTCAGGAGCCATGCCAAGCGGGGAAGCATGGCCAGGAAAGAGTCAGCAGAGCAGATGCCGCCCTTCTCCTGCTGCCTTGATTAGAGAAATTGAGATGTTAATAATATTCTGAGATGCAAGGTGCTAATTAAAGTTAATTACTGTTTCCTTGTGAAGTAACCTCTCCTCGTGTTTACCAGGAACAAGGCTGCCAGCCGCTCCCCTGGCTCGTGCCAATCACGATGCCCGCTGCTCAGTGTACCCCACACCCCCACAGGTGCCCTCAGCTGCCCCAGCTCAGCCCGGGCAGGCACCAGGAGCTGGGGTTCCCGGTCCTGCCTCTCAACCGGCCCTGCCAAGTAACACAAAAGCACCTGAGTATGAGTGACCCATGTGACCTAGAGACAGGGCCAATGACTTCAGGGCTGCCACCACGTTCTTGTTCCCTGCAGGGTCCTGCCTATCTCTTTCCAGCTCATTGACCTAGAGCAAGGTATTTAACCTCTTAGGATCTGTTTTCTCACATGTAAGTGGGGCTCATAATTCCTACCTTGTATTGCTCTGGGAGTCAAATGGGACACTGCCCGTAAAATGTTTAGCATAACCACATACATAGTTGGATTTAATAAGCTCTCAATTAAAGTTAACTGTGATTGCCTTTGTCTCTGTTAATAATCATCTCCCTGCTAACCTCCCTGCTGTGTGGTCTGGCTGCAGGACCCAGGCGGGTGAGCTGTATATGTACAGCTGCCCTCCACAGGCTGGGCCGCCACCCCAGCCAGGCACAGTGCACATGAATGCCACCCCCAGCTCCCTACTCCATCCCCTACCTGGTCTCTCTCACTTGGAGAAGTGATCAACCCTTGGCTAGGAGTTCTGCCAAACCCAACCTGTGGTGTGTGTGTCTTCTCCCTTTCCAGACTTCATAGGGCTTTGGGTGAGAGGCCACCCTCTTGGGATCCAAGTCAGGTTGCCATGATGACCACTGCAGGTGTTCACCTTCAATATCCTTTGCTCCCATCCCGATACCCCCATCCCAACACAGCCATACAGGCCAATTGGGGGGCACCTTTATGATAAAAATCTCCCAACACCTATTCTGGACTACCTCTTCTGTCTCTCCTTGCCTTCTCTGAAAGCCTTTCAGCTGGGGAGAGGGCCAAGGGACCAGAGTAAACCCCCTACACAATTATTCTTCCCAACTTAGCTTTCTCCGGGCTCAGTGCTAATGACTTAATATCACTGTCATCTTTGATTTGGGAGGATGGAAGCTTTGTAAAGGGCCCCCTGCCTATAGCATAGGAAATCAAAGAGTCAGGAGCCCCTGCAGGCTTCTGGTACTTCCCCAACTACAGGAAAACATCTGGCCTTTTCTCTCAGGGAAGTACTGGCCAGTCAAGCCTAGGTTACTTCTTTTTATGACTTGGAAGGGTAAGAGAAAGTCACTCGGTTGGATATCCAGCCAGATTTGGGGGTGAAGGCAATTTGGAAAAGCACTTATGGAGTCAGCAGGCTCTGGGAGATCCTTAAGGCTTGGTTGCTCCTTCTGAGCCCCCATCCTCCCTGTTGTGGCCCCAGATCCCAATTTCAGGCTTAGCTTTGATGAGGGCAGATCCTATTTGACCTCCTCCTTCCCAGAACTGACTGTTAGCCCCTCTGGAAACCTGGGCTCCATCCCCAAAGCCCACAGCTTCAGGTTCCAGGTCCAGCTGCTTTCAACCCCAGTCCTCCCTCATTTCCACCCCACCCCGCAGTGCCCCTCTCTCACCACAGTCCTCGCCTACACCCCTTTTCCAGACTTTCAGTTACTCCCTTCCCCCTCTGCATTTCTTGCTTTGGCTGTACAATCCCAAAGCAGCTCTCCTTCCCTTCTGTCCGTCCTTCCTTCTTCAATCACTCTTGGTGGTGGCACTGGGAACTAACACAAACAAGATTCTTGCCTTCT